GTTTTATGCTTGTAACACAATCCAAAACTTCTGGAAATCCAAAGCCATAAATATAGATTTCTTCTCTCTCAAATGTATCCAATTAGGAGTCACCTTAAGAACAATCAAACTAAATTTCCATTTAACCATATCATCACCATTAGAACAAAATACTAGACACATAAAAGTTCCTCCATTGTGGAATGCAATGTATGAAATTATAGAAATTACATGAATGTCATAATCTCCTGGCATCCCAAAAACCTTTATACACTTATATTTTAATCTAATTTACTCTGTCCCCATGCTTAGTTCCTTATTTTTATTGAATTATTATTTTAATGGCTCAACTTTTGTTTTTATTGTCAACAATATCTATTGTGTTGTTACTTCCTGTGAGTAATTGATGGTTAAATGTGACCTTTGTGTAAACTGAAAACACCCTTTCTCAGGAGGTGTGATTCTCTTTTGGACAAGAAACCTTACTTGACAGCACTGGGTTTGTCTCTTTTCTTATAATTAAAGTTGGTTTCTTTCCTGATGATGTTGACCACAGAGGTCAAGGAAGTGTTTAGGAAAGGACAGAGGATTCCACTGTCAGTTACTGGACTGGACTGAGGATCTGAACAGGTTAAAACTAAATGAGAAATTCTTATTCCTAATCCTAAAAGTTAGAAAGAAAATCTTAATAAATCCAGTGGAGGGTTTGTTTCCTCTACAGGTTTCTGGTTGTGATGCACATTGACGGGTCTCCTCTCCTTCTCTCATCCAACATCATGTCTCATCCCGATATGTCATCAAACTGGCGTCAGACACTAAACACTTAAAGCAGATGTCCTGTCTGCCTTGACATTAATATACTCATTCCGTGCAGGGAAAGGCATCTTCCTGGCTCTCCCCTGATTCTCATTTCCCTTTTCCACTCTTGTCTCATCCATTTGAACAGAAACCTCTGTGTCAAGCATCTTAACCTGAATGGGGGAAGCAATCCACCTCATTACCACCTGCAGTGGCTTTGAGCTACACGACATCTGGGATGTTTGAGGATGAAACCCTTAAATGGAAAAAAAGAGACTGGAGAGAATAGATCAACTGGGACGTTGAGTGCGAGGAGACGGACTGAATCTTTTTTTTACCTTCAGGCAAATCCTCCTAATATTACAATACAAGTTGACTGACTTTTCAAGATCTAAAAAAATGAGTATAAGGAGCAAAATGTAGGAGAGCCTATTAGAAATAAAGTCACATATTCACCTCCAGATAACCTCCCCTGACAATATACCAACGTTCACGCAACAACAAGACAGTGTGGCTACATGAAAACTTTTTAAATCATCCAAATGTCAAGAATCTGTCAAAACACGTCCTTTCAGGCAGAGGATGATGAAAGTTAGGAGGATGGTGGTGGTGCAGCAGCTCAGATCAGGCTGAGTTCAGAGGTTGGTTTGTTGGGAGAGGGAGCGGTTGTTCAGATGAGAAGGAATAACAAGATCACCACGACGCAACGGCACAACATCATTAGAATCTACCTTCGAGATTGTTTCTGTCAGGGAAGATTTTGGAATCATGCACTGAGGCACGTCATCGAGAATCATGTTCAGTGCCATTAGAGAACTCTGTCCACTTGTGTTCACAACAAAATCCTTTTCATGACCACAGAATGCTTACAGTCTGAAGCAAAGCCATTTTAAATAATTTGCTAGATGGGACATTTGACCACCTGAGACAAGAGGACCGCTTATATTGTCGGGATTTGGACAGGAAAGGAAAACCCCATGAGTGGAGGCTGGAAGGAATGACAGTTGTTTGTTCAATAATAAATACATCAATTATTCAGGATGGCTGGATGGATGGATGGATGGATGGATGGATGGATAGATAGATCATGGTCTAGGTCTAATGCAGCAGTGTGTTGATCAGTCTCCAATAATCAAACTGCAGCGGTTTCGTGTAAATTGGCAGTGATTCTAAAAACTACTCACTATCTTTCTGAAAAGCACAGCTGTCACAGAGTATTAATGGCGGCTTTTTCAACATGCACAGCAGCAGCTGGAACTGACCCACCTGAATGTAACGCAGCCATTGCTAACATGATTAATTACACCTGTGTGTGGGCAGTCCTGTGTGAGAAAGGTCGGCTGGGTCACTGGGATTGACCGACATTATCAACCACCTGATCTGATGAAGGTTCCTCACAGCACCAGCATGATTTTTTTCTCCAGACAAAGGTATAGAGTCAACCTTTAATCTCTCTCTCTCTCTCTCTCTCTCTCTCTCTCTCTCTCTCTCTCTCTCTCTCTCTCTCTCTCTCTCTCCCCCTCTCCCTCCCTCCCCTCCCTCTCTCCCTCCCTCTCCTGATGCCCAGTTGATGTACGGTGAGGATCCTTCTGGGGCCCACTGAGCCAACCCCATTCTGTCAGTGTCAGGGAACTGAAACAGCCCCTCTCTAACCCCTCCGGACTGGTGGGGCCCGGGGACGCTGAGGACCAGAAACAGCTTGTCACAATCAGCAGCTTCAGGCTTTGTTAGCATATAGATGTGGACCAGGACAAGGAAATACATTTGTCTGAAGGGACATATAGGCCATTATTTCCAGGTCTGCTAGAGGGCGCTGGTGGCGGTTAACCTTTTCTTTTTCTTTCTTTTTTTTGCTACATGGGGGTTAGGGATAGGGATAAGTTGCGATGGCAATAATTAACACAAATTCAACTAATTCCCATTGTATGCAATCTTTCAATTGTGGCCAAACACCTCAAATTTGATTAATCGTGCACAAAACATTTGGTCATAAGTCACCAAGCTCACTTCCTTGTTTTCAGTTGTGAAGATGCAGACCATGCAGACATGTGCACCCTGAGCATCTCATCTTTACCCTGTCCAAACAGTGCGACTTTATTCCCACTTTTATACTCACAATTCAACTGTAATCAAAAAGTACATGTAGTAATATTTTGTGTACAAAAAAAAATCGATTTGTACTTTTAACTTAGCCGAACTTAGTGTAATTAAGGAAATGAGTTGCCACACATATTTTGAGTTTATTAGATCAATGTTTCTGAGTTGTGGTCAATTAAATAACTGGAATGAAAAATAATGAGTGTATTGAACATGAAATACTGTGTTTTTATACTTAAAATTATTAAGTTCTGTTAATTTATTTTAATGAGTGGGGTGAATGAATATTGTGAGTTGCATATACTAAAAATATTTGAGTTGGTTTGATTTGAGTGTATACGTGTGTGACTGTATGTGTGGCGGACTCCAGGAACAATAGGCAGTGCTTATGCTGGTGCTAATTGGGATCTGAAGAAACAAAAGAAAAGGAAATGCAGCTTTAAATCTGTTGCACACTGTTCAAGCTGAAATCCACAACGAGTCTGAGACACGATGACATTTTGCTCCTTAACAAAAGGAAAAGAAAATCTGATGACAAGAGGAGGATGAGTTTCACTGGCTGTACAGATCATCATGTTTTTACACTGGAATAAATGCACAAACATTACTACAATACATTACTATCCTAGGTGGTGATACGTTTGTATCTGTCAAAGATACGGACCATATGCAGAAGATTACAGACTAGCTTCTTTGACAGATAGATCATATTAACTCATTGGATCTTTCCAGATACAGGCCCTTTCTGTAAGTTCATTGTACCAATCCCATTCAGTTAATTGAAGTTACACTCACATGCAGCATTTCTCCAAACCTATTCAAAATGTGTGAACAGAATTTATCTGAATAAAGTAACTTTTAAAAAATTAAAAAGATATACAGCATTATAAAGCTTACATTTTTGAAATGATATAAAGTCAACTTCAATAAAATGAGTCAGTAGCACAAACTGGAATTATATCACCTGTACATAAAATACTGCACATATTTAAGTCAAAACAACTGCTTCAACAATTGTTTTTGAGTTGGGTTTAATTCATGTGAATGAATCCAGTTTTTTTGGAGGATTCATTTATTTGAACTTGCTTCTTTTATTAAGATGTTTTGTCAGGTTTTACAGTGTGCCTTTTTAAGGATTTTAATGTGACATTTATAGTTTTTTGTGGTAAAAACACATCAGACATATTTGTTTATGTTATAATACAGGTCTGGAGATTTTTTAGTAAGTAGGGGGTTAGAACAGATCTGTGTTCACCAGCCTTTTGACTTTCTATCGAGGAATCAGCCAACACCTCAGTGTCTCACAGCAGGATGGAGACATTCTTACAGTACAGCATATCTTCCCTTTTCTTTTATGTCCTTTCATTTCCTTTGCTGCTCCTCCATTATTTAAGACATGTCCTAGACCACATTTCAAAATAAAATGTTCACTCTATTTTACAATTACTTTTATTAAAACTGCATATATATATGCCGTACACTCCTCATTTATAGCTTCACTGATAAAATATTTCCTCAATTAAGCATATTTTCTTTAAAAACATCAGCATTTTTACCAAGAAACTATCATCGGTACTTCTATACCTGCTGAGCAGTGTTGGTGTACAGTTTCCATGTGCTAATATTAGATTCTGCATATAAAATGACAATATTGTTAAATGATTCCTGTCCGTTCTTTCCTCTTCAGGCCTTATTAAAAGAACCTTTCTTCAAACCACAATCAGTGCTCCCTCTCTCTATCTTTTCTTTGTTGTCAGTAATATCCACGCATTCATGTGATCTCAGAGTTGCGCTCTCCGGAGCTCTCCAAGGCACTCAGAATAAATCCTGGTACTGTTGGTTACTGCACCCCCACGCACTTCTACACCCACAGCACATGCAAATTCCTCCTTAGGAATAAAGAGTTGCTCCGTGCACGTTAAAGCCGCACAATGCTGATAAAAAAAAACATGAGGAAAAGTCTAAGATGGATTTAAAAAATGACACCAAACTACGCACAAGAATATCAGAGCCCCTGAGAAATGTCAAGACGGAAAAAATGACTTTAATACTAAGCATCTAAAAATGTGTAAATATGTGAATGCAGACGGATGGAGGACAGGTGGGGGGGGGGTTCGGGTGCTTACCTGCAGGAGACGGTGATTTCAATCTTTGTCGCAGGTACGGTGGAGTTGAGTGGGTCGAAATCCCCGATTGTCGCCATGGCTGAGGGTTTTTTCTTTAAAAATCACTTCTTCTGGATCCCTGAAGTTCTCACTTATATTACAGCTCTGATTCTCCCGTGGCTGTACCGTGCTCGTTCCATCCACCCGAGACTGAGAGACGGAGTGAATCGGCCGGCTTCGGTAGTAGTAGTTGTTGCTGCCGACGGTCGCTGGAGCGCAGTTGAGGGTTAGGAGGCATACCTGAGGATGAGGCTTTCATTCATGGCGAGAGGGGGAGAGAGAGAGAGACACACACACACACACACACCGGAGCTACAGACGCGGATCTAGAAGCTCCTCGTTTCTCTCCATCCATCGCCAGGTGGAGGCAGAGACCTCCACAAGTTCTTCTGTTCTGCAACTTGTGGTCTGTGTATGGAAGGTAATTAGTGCCATAAAACGAGCAGGCGGAGGAGAGGCGTTTAAGGCCAACAGAGCCCTATTGTGAGCCCTCAAATGTTGAGTACTCCAAATCTTTATGTTAGAAATGTACAGTATGGGTCCCCATTTAGAAACTGCCAGGAACTTATTTGCATATGTTGGGGAATTAGAAAGATGTGAAAAGCACGCAGATTTAAAAAAAGCCAGGTAGGTAGCTGCTGACACCTAAATGAAATGAAAATATATAGCCAGATATAGAAGATGAGACATAATAGCAAGGCTAAGACTGTGATAGACTAGCTTGCTTCATCGAATCTGTGTTGAGGTTGGGTTGATTTTTAGGTCATTTATTTTCTAAATACATAAGCACAGAGGCAAAAACAACAACAAAATGCTGCTCAGCAAAAAACACAACTGAAGAAATTTGAATTAATGTTACGTCTGAACATTCACACCAATGACATTGAGCTTTCTTGATTCCAAAATGCAGGTCCAATGTATTTAGCATATAAATAACCTCAAAACTGTCTCAAAATTAATTAATCAAAATCAGCCCACTGGGAGCTGAAATATGGCCACTTCTGGTTTAAACAGCCATTTGGATTATTTCAGAAATGGATTCAGCATCCTCAATAACCCTCAAGCGTTTCATCGACCAATCACAATTCATACTTTGCAGTCACGTGGTTACCATGGATACCTGGCGGGCAAGAAACCCCGATTTCAACTGTCTATTATAGTACATTTCGAGTGAAGTAGATTTAATAGACGTAATTGAAGTCAGAAAACAATCACAGTGATCTTGATTTTGGATATGGACGTTTATTTAGATTGACAAATTCCATACCAGGACTTGAATTACAGCGTGTTATATGTCAAATCACATGAGGAAATTATTGCCTTGGTCTTTCCGTTCAGTACGTAGTACGACGTTACGACGTACAAAAGAATAAAAGCATTTATTTTGATGGGTGGGCCATGTTGCAAAACCTCGTAGATAATTACAACACCAGAACATTGAATTAAACAATGCAATTGTTGTTAGTTTTAATTTACTTGGGTGAAAGCAAGCGCAGCGCTGTTTCTCTGCCTTCGCTGAATGAATGCCAGGGGAAACACCAACGTCCTGGCAAGATCCTTGATTAGTTTACTGGGTTTCGTTGCTGGAGAACGATGTTCTTGCCCGCCAGCCAGTAGTTGTGACGTCACGTGCAAAGTATGAATTGTCCTCAACAACTTGTAGAAATAAAGACTAGTCCTACACGTAAATGTAAGCATATTAAGATGTAATTGGACTAAGGTTCTGTAGATGGCTTAGCTTGCTAACGTTAGTTCTATAATACATTTACAGACTACTAGATCTTATTTTGAAACTTCTGTTGAGAAACACTAACTAGCGAATGTTATGTTAAACCAGATGTTGACAGTTACAGTTCAGCAAGAAAGGTGAAGAAGAAGGGGGTGTTCCAGTCAGCGAAAACGGGAACCCCCACCAGCACGAGACCGCCCATTTGTGGCTGCAGTTGGATGATATTGGTAAAATGAGCAATTTGGATGAATTTGGAGCAGTTTTCTTGATATTTTTAGGGAGTTTTTATACCATTCCCTGTCTCTATTATGTTTTTTTGTTTTGTTTTCTTTCTTTCAACAGCCATACATAAATAATAGTTTGTTTTTTTGACAAATTCAGTGTTTTCTTCTCATTGTTTTATTAGCTTTTTGGCTGATTTAACAGCCCATTTTTCTAATGCAGGACAAATCAGAAAGTGAGGAAATGAGTGAAAATAGCTCGTGTTCAGGTCTTCACTGTGCTCTTATCCTGTGTGATTTTTTTTAAGTTTGAGGGATGTAGTGGTATACGGATTGCAACGGTGCTGTTTAAGAAAAAAAAGGCGTGCATGATTTAGTTATTTGTGTACACAAATTAATCAATTCATGCTCTCAGTTTAATATCATATATATTTGCCTCCTCCGCACTCTTGTATCGGGGCGGCAAACACCTTTGGTGCTGTTTTATCAATTCAAAGTCACCTGGCAAGATGGCAGAACTGAGTTGGGAAAGGGAAAATAATTGGCATGTAAGGGTGACAGAAAATGCTCAAAGCTAAAAGAGGAATCGGAGGAGAAAGAGTTTGATGAGCAAAGACAGGAGACGCAACAAGAGGGCCGTGACAGAGAGAAGGAAGAGGAACATAAAGCCACAGAAATGTAAAATAAACAGTGAAAGCAGAAGAAGGAAGACACTGAGAAACCAGACCAGACCCTCTCCTTTGTGGCATTAATCCCCCCTCCTACATTTCCAGGGCCACTACACCTTCCATAAGCAGCAAGTACAAGTTAAACCCATCAACAGTTGATTAGTTAAGATAAATATTTTATGTATGAATAATTCATGAACCACTGAAACATTTTAGTGCTCACACCTCCGAGGCAGCGGGAGGATGTAGTTGACTGGGTTCAGGCCAGGTTCCAGCAAGCACCTGCTCCGTTGCAGTATCACTGTGTGGGTTGACCTCTGACCTCCACATTTAAAAAGGACCTAAGAGAGACTTTTACCACAGAAATTTTTGTCTTTTTTTCTATTAAAATATGACAATGCATTTATCTTAACATTCTGAATTTAATCAGAGCTACAAAGTGTGAATTTGAACGCTCCAGTTATATAACTGGCAAATGAGAATTCTGTGTCAAATGTAGTGTGACTGCATAAAGCAAACTGTACTTCGTCTCATCTGTGTTAAGAAAGACCACTTAACATCAGCTCAGCCGCTAAGGGAAGTAGATAGTATGGTGTAAATAGTTAATATATCTCACCATGGATGATAATGAATAAATCACAAGTATAAAGCTACTTTTATATGCTGAAGCTAATTCATTTAGAACGAAATAAGCAAGCCGCAAATACATTCTCTTTTTTCATTTATTCACAATTGCCACTTACTGCTCAGTTCACCTTTCATTGTAGCCTGCCAACAATTAAGAAATCAAAGGTAGAATTACTTAAAAATGCATCAACTGTACAAAGAAGAAAACTTTGAACATCAGGACGAGTGCAATGCAGCATTTTAATAAAAGAGATTCTGAAATAAAAATTAACTTGTAAAAACAAATAAAACCATTATATGCCGCAATTGAGAGAAATGCAAAACAAGTGAGCGAAAAAGTGACAGACTGAGTGAGTTTTTGGAGAGTATTTGAAAGTAACTCAGAATATGTAATTTCAGCTATGTGAAAATGACAGTAATGCTTTTGTGAGTGTCCTGTGATGGTTAACAGCTACAGGCAGACTGTAGAAATGATGCCAAAATAAAAACAAATGATATGAAAGCTTGACTGAATTACAGCTCCTCTTCAGAAAAGGTTTCTTACCAAGAAAGCTGAAAGAGAGGAGGCCATGCCTGAAAGTCTCAAATAAAGCTGGACAGATTGTTCTTTGTGTAGGATTACAAAATTAAACCACTTTGACAGCCCAGGCAGATACATGCGGTCATGTGAACCAAATACAAACAAATTCCTTACAATGTCAAAGAAAAAAAGGGATAAAGACTGATGTGGCTTTAAAAATAGTTTAGCAAATGTGTTTTTGTGGTATAAAGGAAGCCGAATTTGGCTTGGAATCTATAGCAGAACACCAAATCCTGCCAGTAAAAAGACGGTTGCTTATTTAAATTCTTTCTGAGAGTGAGATGTGAAAATCAATACCACTGTTGTGTCTGTGAGTGAAACGCAGAGCTGGAGCCTAACCTAGCATAAAGTCTAGAAACGCCTCACGACGTCCAATCTGAAAAACACACCGAAAAACACCTCTAAAACTGACTGATCAACAGGTATCTCATCTTTTAACCCATACTTGAACAGAAAAGTAAAAATCCAGAACTAACAGGCTAACAGATTAACTGTTGTTCATCAAGAAATATTACACCACCAAAATCCCTGAAAATGTCAAATTGCCATTTTTACATTTCTGTTTGTGTGTGGATTCAGTAAACTAGATAAACACGTTAATGAATGAGCTTTAGAGGTGTTGATATGCATGTTTTTGAACTTTTGAAAAGGCAGAGCTAGCCGTTTCTCCTTCAGTCTTTATGCTAATGTAGGCTAAACATGTCCCAGCTCTAGCTCTGCACTAAGACATGATATTGGTGACAATCTTCTCATCTTACTATCGGAAAGAAAGTGAGTACTCTCCCAAATTCCTACTTGAATTATTCCTTAAAATCAATAAAATCCTCTTCAGCTACAGTCTCGTTCAAAGGCAGAAATGAAAATCTCTTTGTGCCTTAAATCTGGGTGTGAATGAAAAATGTCAACCTAATCAGTTTGTCTATAAGACTCAACAGCTTTATGTTACTGTACAACTAAAAAAGACTTATAGTCCTTCAACAAAGTGAGTGATAAAGGGGCAATCCCAAAAGCTTCATTGCAAAGCTAATGCTGCTAATGCTCTACAATCAAAACTTTTATTAACAATCTGCTGCAAACACCACAAGCTCTTGAAACCATTTAAGTAACAGAAATACACCTGAAACTGGATCAGAAGTAGTAGAGGTCTGATCCAGCGTTACTGAAGATAAAAAAGGCACAACAAAAGGTCCTGAGGTACAGCAGCCGTCAAAACCGTTTGGCAACACCGACAAGCTAGTTTCAAATAAAATCTCTCAACAGAAATCTCTGAAGAAAATTACTTTAAAGTGTGAATCTAGCTGAGAGTGGCCCAGGTAGAAATGTCGGTCTAAGTGTGACCTGAAAGTACAGCTCACGTGTTTCTGAACAGTTGTGTGGTAACAGCTGGGCGGAAATCTCAGCACAGGCAGGAATCACGTGGACCTCGCTTCACTGGAGTCCAACAAGAAAGGACGTTGGAAAGGCATTCGGTTCACAGGTTTGCTACCACAATGCTCAGTGCCTCTTGTGCTACCATGTCAGTGCTACTGAAGAAGAAGAAGAAGGAAAAAAAATGACCGGATATGAACTCAAGTAAAGGATATGACATTAGACTGGCGAGATGAAAAGATCGTTGCTTCATCTTCTGCTCTTCGAGGCCATTCAGAACAGTCCCTGTGGATGTTTAATCCTTAAAACTTATTTTATGAAGAAAACATTTTGTAATATAACTTGAAAGTCATCTAGTTCAAGGATAGGATCAGATTTTGTTTAAGGCATCTACCTCACATACCATATGTACGTCTGCTGGTCGCTGTAATCATCCCTTCTGTCCATACAGGCTGTGAAGAGATAACTTTGTAGTGTACCCCGAAATAGGGCCAAAAATCACATTTGGTTGCATCTCACACCTCTATATAATGACGGAACTTTTTGCCCAGCATGCAAGTATGACCACTCCTAACCACTATAAACACTTTTGCCTTGTGTGTTCTGGTTCGGCCAACCCTTCTTACAAACTAGTTTGTACACTTGAGTTCCCACTGAGGCTTCAAGGTTTCAGTATGCTTCAAACAAAGTGCTTGTTGGATCATTGAACAGCATCCCATAAGTCATTCGGGGTGCTGCGTCCGGCAGTTTCTATAACTTTCTGAGACCCACGATCCTTCCACTTCACACAGTGATTGACAAGGTGTGCAGAGGTGAGAAAGTAGGCAGGTTTTGAACTTTTTTTGCAACACCATGAATGCCTTCAACAAGAAACTGAAAAGTGTGCACCCTTATCCCCATTTTAACATTCCCTTAGACGTGTTTAGACAACACTTCATACAAACTAATTGTCAGATTCACACTGTAAGGCTTTAAGGTTTCAGTATGCCTAAAAAAAAAGTACATGTGGCATCATCAATCAGCACATGATACCCCTTATCCCGAGTCAGATTAGAGGCGCTGTGTCTGGCAGTTTCTGTAACTTTCTGAAACCTTCAATCCAGCCACTTTACATCGTGATTGGGTCCCTCACAAGACCATGAATGCCTTCAACTAGAAACTGTCCTTTATCCCAATTTGAACATTGCCTCTTGCCCTTCTACAACACCAGGCCTCTTCATCCAGTAGTGTGGCCTTTCAGAAATGGTGTCAATACTTTTGCCTTTACACGTGGTCAGACATGTTGTATAACTGTTTGTTTCAAGTATGGTGAACCCTTAACTCCAAAGGGATTTGGCCAAGACTGAAATTCCTTATCAAGTCACAGAATATGGACAACACCTGGACAAAGCACTAACTCAAACTTCTGAAGCTTCATATTAGCTTAACGTGGACTGCAGATACAGTACAGTTGCACTACAAAGGAATGTCTTCAATCCCAGAGTGGACAGAAGGAATTACTACAGCAGCCAAAAACTCCTTCAATGTACATATGGCATGCGAGTACTGCATTAAGACAGACTTTTAAAAATTCAACCTTATCCTTTAACTCTAGACCCCAAAGCTAGATAGATATTTATAGATAGATATTCCAATTTGAATTTACTGTGCCAGATTAGAAACCAAAAACCTTGGTACCATTTCTGTCAGAACACAATAAGTGCTGTATTTATCTCTTCTTCCAAATCCACCTGAACAAAAGAACTTTCCACTGCTTGGGTCAGTTAAGAATAGCAGCACAAAACAACAGGACTAAAAACATATCGCTTCCTGTGCGTGGGACGGTCACTGCAAGGACTTAAAAAAATTATGAGCAGATTAAGGAAGAACAGAGGAAGGAAGAATTCTTTATATTCTGCCTGTAACAGGCACAGACCCCATGTTCTCAGCCACTTACATTTCATTATCCCTTTTTGATACTGTGGCTGAAACCATTTCCCTCCCTGAATGTGACAGATGAACTCAATACACAAGATTAAAAGTCCAGAGAAAACTTGGAGGATCACAGAAAAAATTCAATCCGGACATGTAAGGTTTAAAAACAAAACCAAAGTAAGTTTAAAAAAAAAAAAAAAAAAAAAAAAAGAAATGAATGCTTCACCCCTGCACTGAACAGAGATGTTTGGCACTTTGTCGTACTGAGTCCAGATGTGTTGAATCGTCTGTTGATGGATGGATGGAAGAAGGAGGAGGGACTGAAGTCACATTGAGAGGGTTCAGACAATGGCGTTTGTGCCCCGGAGGCCTACCCCGCGGGCGAACTGCTCCAGCAGGCCGGAGATTGCACCGGAGGGGCTGGGTGCCGAGGACTTGAGGCCCACAGTGGAGCTGTAGGCCGCCAGGAAGACTTCCCGCACCGCCTCCAGACGGGCCTGACGCTCAGAGGGGAAGGGACACCTGAAGAGGAGAGAGAAAGGGGGGAGAGGAAACAAGAGGGAGGAAGATAAGAAGACAGGAAGAAATAGAAGGTTAGGAAACTGAAGAAATCAGCAGAGGAAAAGAACAGAATGACGCAGGCAGAGGCAGTTTGGATCACTTGGGCCACAATGTACTCGTGAATTAACCATCACAGAGCTCACACACTCATCATCACCATCTCTCTGCTCCTCTCCCATCGTCCCAGTTCCTCTCACTTCCTCCGAAATAAGATGGATAGACGTTATTTGCCTTTTCGTACTGCAAGTGACGCTGGCGGGACACACTTAATTTGGCAGTCTGATCAAGCAGATTAAAATGTGTTCCCTGCTGGGAGCAGAGAGTAGGAGGATGAGTCAGAGGGAGAACCCGGTGGAAAATTCATCTCCCTCAATTCTCCCCCTCCACTCAGTGGGGGGAGAGATCAGGGACAGAAACTGATGGTCTTTTTTTTTTTTTAAACACATACATTCCCTTAAATAAGAATACTGACCAAGATATGTACAGAGGTAGACATTATACAGTTAGAAAAATCAAGAGCTCTCTGTTAGACACACACTGTTTCTATGTTCCTCAAACATATATTTGGTGTATATTTGGCACTTTTGTACTGCAGTATTTTGTTATTTATAGGCTGGCGTATATGCCAATACGGCACACACGGAAATGCCATATGCCACAAAAAAAGATCTGTATTCTGCAATCATCATATGGTTGTTCTCATTTGCTGTTTTTTTATCACAGCTCATGCACGTGTTACCCAGGCAGTCATTCTGTGCCTTGTGGCTATAGTGGCATTTAAAATGAGTATTCGCACACTTAGATACAACAAAAGGTTATCTCCTTTAACTTCATGGTCACACAGCCTCTGACTGAGACTGGTGACCAGTGGTTTCCAAATATTTTCATAAGATGTACCTCCCAGCCCAGTCCAATTACCTCAAGTACATCTACATTAACACCACCATTTATGTTATTTGAATCAATTTCAAACTGGGTGTGATTTAACTATTAATCCTATTTGGATATACTAGTGGATGTTACAATATTTTATTTTTTTTGTTTCAAGAAGGCCTTGCAAACCACCATAAAGCTTTGGTGACCCCCAGTGGTTGGGAATCACTAGCGAATGTTCTATATGGAGAGAAAACCCATCATCCAGTGACAGGAACTTGCTAAATTGATCATACCATGGACACCATTCAGGATGAGCTCAGTTTACTTAGTGAGAACAACAGGAAAAGATGCACAGGGTTTCCTTAGTACCTGAACCACCTGTCACATACAAGACTGAAAACTTGTGTTTTCATTAATAGAGTTCCAACAGAAAGCCTGAGCAGAGGGACAATAATGGATGGGTTGTACATCGGGTCACTTACATCCGTCCACTGGGTCCTTCATCCTGAAAACTGAAGGGCAGGGGGGAGTCGTAGGCAGCAGCGACAGCAGACGAGGTTGAGGAGGCTGAGGCCAGAGGTGGAGGGAAGTGAGCGTGGTCGTGGATGCTGCCACAACCAGAAACTATCTGCCAGCTCCCATACTCTGTAGAGAGGGAGGAACCTGACCGAGTGTAGTCTGCTGCTAACCTGAGAGACGGACAACAGAGAGAGTTTACAGGTAGAGTCCTACCTGTAAGCAACCAGGTATTCACAGGTCTTCCATACTGCGTAATGATAATAAGCAGATAACAAGTCGAGCAGTTGCTTTCAGAAAAGACAGGAATGCATTTGTGGTTCTAGGCTGGAAGGTTCTACTAATCTTAACTCCTATTTCAATTATTCATCACAAAGACTGAGTTGGGATGTCTGGCTATATATAACCCCCCCCCCATTTTACACTTGTTTTTTGTCTTTACATAAATGTTACCATCAGCCTTTTGTTTCTTGATATGTCAACGTTTCCAAGACACACTAGTTGATTGTGCAGTTTTTAATACAATATGAAATATCATTTAAGCAGGGGTCAAAAAGGGGTCCTTTAAGGAAAAAGGTTGAGAACCACTGATGTAGCCCAATATCACAAATAACGAATTTGCTTCAAGGGGCTTTACGATTTGGATAAGGAAAAAAATAGTTTATACTAGTATAATATAACTAAAAGGTATATTAGTCCTAAAGTATGTTTTAATGGTGTGAGGTTTTCATCTTATTTCAGTAATTCGTGGGATAATTTGAATACATAAAATTTGAGCATGGCCAAATAATTGTTTCATATCCAGTGCTGAACATTAGAGGAAGAGACTCTCTGATTGCCCATGCATGAGCTGCAGGCTCTGTTGGTTCACTGGTTGGTCTGCAGGGTGAGAGCACAGTGCCTCTGGTGATCATCCAAAATTTACATTACTCAACTTAAGTGTGTATAAAAATAAGATGGCACGCAAACTTGGGACTGGCTGATGGAGTTGTGCCGTCTCACTCACCTTCTTCCGGGGACAGCCAACGGGCTGCTGCCAGTGCGTGTGACACCGTGTTCTGACTGGTTGGAGGAGGAGGAGCTGGAAGACCTGGCCTCGTTGAGTGGATGGGAGAGGTGCTCTTCCAGAGGGTTCTGTTTATTCCAAACAACCATCTGAGGAGAGGAGGTGGTGCCTTTTCTCCTGAGGAGAGGAAGAACACATCAACATCCAGAGGAGGAAGAGGAAGACTGTATGCAGTAGGTTGTGATGGAAGTTTACCAAATGGATGTTGGCCTTGATGGAAATAAGAAAACTAGCTTTGTACTGATTGAAGGTTATTTTGATTCAACCAGCTTGAAATGAATAATTCCATGAAAATTAACCGACATGGAAACGTGACTGGTTTGCTCCTTCATTGATCTAAATCAGTCCAATTGTGGGGCTAAGGCCCTGAAAGCTGGACATTAGCGCTGCATGAAAAAACACAGGACAGTCATTTACTTCATTGAGACCACTGTGTTGACAAAGAGGGGGTCAGATGCAGACAGCCAAAATTCATAATTTTTTTTTGCCAAAGTGCCACCTGGCAAAACCCTATGTTAGAAAGTCAAGTAGAAGTCAGCTTAAGCGCACATTCATGCTTGATTTTGCAACCTAAACAGTGTATTTCTCCTTTTCAGATAAAATAAGCACTGATGGTCTAAGCACTGAACCCTCACCGATTTAATTTGACCTCATCTGTATTATCACTGGAAGTATCTGAGTGCAGAGACATTTCTCATTATATTTCAGTTTAATGAACTGGAGTTTGCTGTTCTCTCCCTGTAAAAAAATGACTTGCAGATTCCTTGCTTCTTTGTTTCTGATTCCATTGTCCTCAGCATTTTAACATCACAATGCAATACAGTGGTTCCCAAAACCTTTTTCCTTAAGGGACCCCTTTACTATCATTGAGTAAACTGTATTTTCTGGATATTTCATACTATATTCAATGGATAACAATAAGTAGAGAACAACTGATAAACTGTACAATGAACCCACACAGTTAACACAATAACTGCAGGAACTTTTTATACAATTCTGTCTGTATTATATATTTTTCTTAATCATTTTTAACAATTATACATACTAATAGACTTCTTTTTTGACACTTCAGACTTCCCTGATGCTTGGCTATTGTTCTATTAGTTCTTTGGTTGTTTGAACATTTCTAATGCAGGACGAGGCTGTTTATCAGAGAGTGAAGGCTCTGTGAATGTAGCTTGTGTTCAGCTCTTCAGTTAAGATCTTAAACAATAATCTATACTTTAAAAACAACTATTTAATTTAGTTTTCTTCACAGAAATGAACAAAATGCTGATATATAGGTCTACTGTGTATATGGTTTGCTTATGCCCCTTAAAATCAAGACGGCCTTGCAACCCCCTGTGAAGCTTTGGCGACCCCTAGTGGGGGATCCACACCCAGGTGGGAACCAGTGCCTAAAAGGGTAATGTTGGTATTTTTCAACCTGGATTTTATTTTCTAACAACACGTTTTGAATTTGTTCCAGTATTGAGTGAGAGCGCTGCAGCTGCGAAATGAGAAACATGATCCTTGCAAGCAATTGCACACAATCAAAATACACCATCAAAGTGCTTGTTTTTGCTACTGACTGGCTCAGATTGTTATTATAAGTGTCTGGCAACACAACCGTGCAGAGAAATGAAAAATGTTCTGTTCCTTTTGCTTGGTTTACTGTGGGTATAACCAAGTCTCGTTCAAAAATCTCAGGAGAGGTGGTGTTCCTGCGGGTGCTACGACCCAGTTCCCACAGAGTAGATTTCACAGACTGGATCAAGCAAAAGGTTACCGAAAAAATAAAAATGTTCTGTGGGGTCCTTTCCATAATGTTGTCAGACATTTACAGTAACAATACGAGGCTTTTCATAGACTAATGCTCGTTTTTCATCGTCTCACTGGCACCTGTAGCATGTTATATGTTGCTGTGTGTGCTGGTGTTCATGGAAAGGCTCAAATTTTAAACACATACTGATGAAATATGAATAATAAACATGTATCCGTCAACTTTGCAAAACTAATATTTTAAAAGAAATGAATTCCTGACTTTTGTGAGCCTGTGTGATACTGACCAGCTGGAGGCCTGGGGTTGGCTGGAGAACAGGTCCACTGCTTCGTTGTTGAGGCTGGAGGTGCCGCCCGCCTCCTCAGTGATAAGGGAGAACTCGCTGCTCAGACTGGTCACACTGCCGCGATCCCTCGTCTCTGAAACCAAACACACAGCAGGGTGGTTAGTTCAGGTTCCTAACTCAGTAGACCTTCTTCTCACCAGACATTTAGACATATAGCAGGGAAAGCACAGGTGTATGAGAGCTGAAGTGAAACTAGAACTTCCAGGTTCTGTTCCATAAGGAAACTTCATTCAAAACCCCACTGACTTTGGTAACTACGCTAATAACTAAAATTGAACTAAAATTTGTAAATATTGTTTCTTCCTTGTGCAAGTTTTTCTTTTTTTTTTCCCATGGTGTGCCATTACCATAGAGGTATGAGAACCATGGTTTTGTCCTGTATACTCTTTGCAATTCAGTTAAAGCAGGTCTTACTTTGTCCCTTGCAGATGAAGGCAAGCTAGATGTTACTACGATGTACAAATGTGAAGTTGTTGTCACAGCTGTACAACCATCAGAATAAGACTATTCTCTGGTGTTGATTTAAGACTACCGTGCATCGCAACAAATAACCTGTAACAGCATGATTTGTCACTTTACGACTTAATTGTGAATATCTACAACAATAGGTTTCTGACTTCTAGACCCCAGGGGCAAGGATGAGGGCGTATTTAAAGTGCACTGATCTGTTAGTTGGGTTTAGGCATGAAAAGAACTTGGTTAGCTTTAGAGAAACATTGTGGTTTGTGTTAGAATTACTGCTTTTTAAGGTTACGGGACCTTCATCATCATGGTTACATTAATAACCACTTGATTAACGTTTGGAAACAATTCAAACACAGCAGGAGGAGAATATTTTGAAGCTGCTCCCAGTATATCTATGTTTATATATGAATCAAGTGCGCACGTTTTGCAAATCTAGGGTAACCATTTCCCATATGCCCTAGACTACTGGTTCTCAAACTATGCAAGTTGGCTCCAGTGGTACATGCAGGAAAAAAATTACATTAATTAATTAAAAACATATAAAAAGAATAAAATACTTCCACATTTTGAATGGTAATACTCACATCATTTGATTACTGAAATGTAATTTTTAGTTTTGCATTTCCTGTAATATTTTGTTTCAGTATCATCCTGCTACGAGTCACATTCATGCTCAATGCGCGAACATACAGCCATGATTAGTTATGAGGTAAAATATGATGGCAAGATAGTGATAGGAGGTAAAATCAGTGGTTCAAAAACTCTACTCTTTGTGAGAAGACTGAATACTGAATAGTCCTTGACACATAACAGCAATGTTATTGAATTCAATTCAATTAAATTTTATTTGTATAGCACCAATTCACAACAGAAGTTATCTCAGGACACTTTTCAAATAGAGCAGGTCTAGACCGTACTCTTTATAACATTATTTACAGCCAACAGACACCCAACAGTACCACCATGAGCAAGCACTTGGCAACAAGGGCAAGGAAAAACTGCCTGTTAAAAGGCAGAAACCTAGGACAGATCCTCCGGCTCTAGGTGGGTGGTCGTCTGTCTCGACCAGTTGGGGTGAGAGAGAGAGAGAGACAGAGAGAGAGACAGACAGACAGACAGACAGGTGCACAGCAACAACAGTTGTTATGTATGTGTGTAAAGCCATGTATACTTGTGAAACTGGTAAACAGTGACAAAGCAGTATAGTGAAGCCAATGCAAGGCTCTATTAAAAGTTCAAATCCTGCAGACATAAAGGTTTGTGATGCAAGATGTTTTGGATTCAAGCATTGCAATTTTCTAAAGAGATGAAAGTGCTGTGTTATCACCAAGACTCTCATTGCTTTGTCTCTGCCCTGACACTTTGTCTGCTCGCAGCACTCAGAACCTTCGTTATTCCTCATTGCATCAGACCAGTGGCAATGAACAGGGGCTCCCAATGCTGCTCAAGTACATCACCAGAACACATGATATAACAAGTTGCACTGAGATCTTAAAGAATGACACATTTAACACTTCCTACATGAGTTTGTGGCTTCTGTATAAAAATATATGCAGCTCAAAAGGAAAACACGGGAAATATTTTGTTAAATGGTTTCCACTGTTACTGGTATAATACTACCTGCGCACTAGTTCCCAGTTCCATGAAGTATCTTAATGTCATGTTTTCCTTTGATCTATGAGAATTAATAAATACATTATGTCCTGTATTTAGAATAATTTACTTACTTATAATGTGATTTTTGGTTAACTACACATAGTTCTTTAAAATCAGCGGAGCATTGTTAAATAGCCCTTTGCACTTAAGTACACTAATAAACTTAAATAAACTATAATCAGCTATTTCAAAAGGTTTTCTCTTTGCAAATGATAAAAGTGGAGTTTGAGGAGTTTTTCCTAACTGGAACACACTCTTTAAGGAAAATCCATTTCTTTCTGCTTTTATATCAAATTGTCATTTTAGCAACAAGTTAGTAGCTGACAATTTTAGCTTTAACAACACAAAACCCCAGGTATGAGCAGTCTCAGGTGACACCAACAGGTAGCTGGCTAGCACTTTTTTCAAGGACCTTATCCAGGAGTTTTCTTGCCAATACGAGAAAGCACTTTCTCACAAATGGTCATATATATTACTGGTAGGTCTTGTATTTACACATTTTCCCCAGTTTTATTCTTCCTTTTTTAATGATGCAGGTTCATGATGAAGGTGGTCAACGTTTATGGGACACTGATTTCACAACTGCTTACTACAGTTTTCCTTTAACCTAGGCTTACATATGCGATCTAAGTGAGTGGCTAAAGTACAATCAAAACAACACAGATTATTTCCAGGATATTTGGTGTCTAAGTCTCAAATCTAGGTTTTCCATGACGTGTAGGAACCATGCAATAGTACCAACTACCACGACTGTAATTAAACATAGTTACAAAATAGAACGTGTGCTATAAATGAGCTACATCCATCAAAGGTCCATCAGTGGTACCCTGTATGTGGGCCTGTGTGGAGGGAGGAATGTATGAGACTTACTTAACTGGCAGAGGTCTTCCACAGTGAAATCACTGTCTTTGAAGTGGGAGTTCTTCCTTCTGAAAGAAAAAAAAAAATGATGATGAAATAGCATCCGAGATCAAAAGAAGAAAAAGAATACTGGATTCACACAGCTGACATTTCCCTACAGAAGCTTGTCAGTCACGAGTTAGCTATTTACTGTACGAGTGTTAACATAAACACAACAACACATAGCTGAATATAATGATTGTTTCACATGGAAGGAAAGAAAAAAGGATAAATAGATAGAAAAAAGGAAGAGAAAGAAGTTAAGAAGAAAAAAAATAGAAAAAGATAGAAAGAAAGAAGGAAAGAAAGAAAAAAGAAAGAAATAAAGAACATAACAGACGTATAAAGCATAATGACATAAAGGAGGAACACACCTCTGTTTCCTAACAGCAGAGAACTTCTCTGAGACAATGTGCTTCAAAAAATTGAAGCAAAAAAAGAAAATCTGAGGGAGAAAAGACATGTTTGATGAGAGGGGAGACACAGCAACCAAACATAAATCATTGCATGCACTGCTATTTTGTTTTTAATTTTTGCTTTCAATTCAGTTAGCTATATGTATGTGAACATATTTGTATGAAAGCATTTATTTAGATATAAATTCTGTACTAATTATTGAGGGACAATAGAAAGAAACTCTGAATGTTAAACCTCATTTGAAGCCAACTAAATAATGTCAGTAGTAGGCTGGATGCCTGTAACTGTTTTTTCACGTTGCTTTATACTGCGTTAGCTTATGTTGTAGTACGGAAGCTCTGCAATCCTTGCCGGTGTGTAGTGTATGTGAATCTACTTAGTAGATATGTCCTTAAGGTAACGGTAGAGAAAAATAAATGTGGTAAATTAGTTAACCTAGAAATAACGTGGAGAGTTTAGTGCTTCTTTTCTCCCCACGACCAATCGATCTGGAAGAGTAGGTAGAATTTCAGTCTCAAGACTCACATACTATCTGTGATAAGCTAAACTCAGCCACTAATACTGGCCATGCTGGTACATCTGTTGGGCTGAGTTAAACAGGAATAAAACTTAATTCCATCCACCCCTCATTTATCAATCAAATTTGCATATAATGAGGGGGTGGGTGTTAAAGGGCTGCAACTATTTTTCTGTCGATTACAAAGTATCTATACAAACATAACAGCCCTTTAGCTAAGTTTTGTTCTAAATGCACAGTGCACAAAACAAACCTCAACATACATCTCTTAATATACCTAGGTCAAACATATTTGCTTTATCATGTGCTATTGTCAAAATGTTTTCATCACTGTTTCACCTTCATCATCCTAAGTTGGGGATAGTCTTACCTCCTCCCCTTTGGAGAGTCGATCTGGCAGCATGTGACTGGAAATAGATACAGAAAAAAAAACTGCATTACATGCTAGTTGTACTTATTTATGTACAAAGAAATATTCAAAACAATCCCATCAAAGAATTTTTGAACCTGAGTGAATCCTTTAAACCTGCATTAGTTGACATTTTTAATCAAAAGTGAGGGATGTTTAAACAGTTGCTCACTGTTTTCACAGCAGCTTCTCACTACTGAAGAAAGAGTGACAGAGTCATTGTTTATTCTGTAGAATATTTTAAATGTCAATTTCAGTGTATTGAGGACCGTATAATTAAAGACAGACGTCGTCTCTGTGACGTCACCCATAGGTTTCTTGGCCGTGCTGACTACGCCAGCTCCAGGCTAACTGGAGTGCATGTGGAGTTGAGGTGGGCGAAATGAAGCCTGGTTACTATGATGGCACCCCTTCGAAACCACGCACTTAATTATGCATAACTTTAACCCTTAATAGAATTTAAACGGGTGACTTATATAAGAATTCACCCCTGTACAGTTATCATGAACGGGTAAATTAGCTATAGAGATATTGGCTTATTTTGCCAACCAAGGAGGTTGCAGTTTGGTATTGACTAACGTTAACTCAATTTATTCCACTTTGATTGTATTGCAGCAGCATTGGAAGTTTTGCAGTGATATCATAAAAACTAAACTATTTGGCTAGATATCACCAGGGCTAAGGTTTTTTTGGAATTAGAAACAACTGGCCCATTTATTCTAGCCAATCAAAGCATAAGTCAAGGTCTTCACTGGGGATCATTATGAGTATGATAAAACCATTATTTGCCTTTTATTTTTACCCTTTAAAAAGGACCGGTATGTAGGATTCAGTGGTATATAGTGTTGAAGTTACAGAAATAAATCATTCTAATGTGAAAGACCCTATCTACAGTCAGTATTTGGTTTGTTCATCCAGGACTACTGTAAAAATATGGCTGCCTCTGTAGATAAACAGCTCATTCTAAGGTAACGGAAACACAACAATTCTCATTTTCAGGTGATTATATACTAATGAAAACATGCCTATGAATATTATATTCCATTTCTGACAATAGATCCTCCAAAATGTTACACACTGGACCTTATGAACACTACTTCAGAATCAAATTGTTGAGATTGCACGAGCAATAGAGCATAATCTACTGATAATCAGCTATTTAGGTGCTGCCGACAATGTTCATGTCCATGACAGAGTAGAGAAATCAATAATTACTCTACAAATAAGGTCCAAATATGATTCAGTTGTGACTGATGAGGTAAAGTGCAGCAGCTACAGCCCCTCTGGGAACTCCTTCTGTCTCTCTGCCTTATCCCACTCTGTCTTTACTGATCTCTCTCTCTCGCTCTCTTTTACACACGCACACACATACACAAACACACACACTCAAAACCACACCTTTTCTTCTTGGCCAATGTCCTGAGGGCTTGGGCAAGCCTGCTGATGTATAATTACATGGGCTAGCTGGCAGTGGAGGGGCTTTTTGTGAGACTGCCACTGATGAGCTTAAATTGGAGGGACCGTGCTGGTAATTATGAAAGGAGAACCCCAAGAGAGAGTGTGTGTGTGCATGAGAGAGTGAAAATGTTGAGAGTGGGAGGATAAAAGACGTGGTTGAGAGCGAAGCCAGAGCAGTACCACTTGCCTCATGTTGTCCTTGGCCTCCCTGTCCCACTGCTCCCTGTGCTGCATTAACCAGCTACTTTTCAATTATGCGTTACGGACAAACATCTCAAACCAGATGGCACAGAGAAGTCGCAAATGCACCTCTGAAGTATTTATGTCCGCTAATGCGTTGTGAGTTACGGCTCATTGTGAAGTCATGAAATTATGATAGTGATGATTTTTTTTTTTTTTTTTTTACCCGAAGAGGAACCAGTCATAGGCGATGGTCAGATACAGGATCTGGGCCGGCTCCAGGCTGGCGTGCACCGCGCCGTCCTGTGAAATATACATGACAAGAGCCAGTCAAACATTTCAAACATGCAGTTTTAAATAAAACACCACGAGCCAATCATCCACAAGACGTCAAGCAGCTCTGGACAGCCAAACTGGATTTCTTATTCTGTTTGAAGTGACCCACATGTGTGGTCCGTGGTTTCATGAGAAACTTCCAGTATGGACCACGTCTTGAGAGAAAGATTACATATTTATAAAATAAGGCCTCTATTTTTAATAAAGGCATTGAATACAGAAGAGACTAATTAAAGTGCGTGTTTGAAATGGTAAATTAGTTGTATGTGGAGAGGTACGAATGGGGGGGGCTGGGGCTGAGGCAGATGGATTCAGCGTGTGATTACCGAAGTCACTAATGAATGTTGGATGGGCCAAATGAGCTGCCGGGTGACTGGGTGTCATGCGGAGAGACACTAGGGGAGAATACAGGAGATGAAAAGACAGAAGGGGGAGGAAAAGTAAGAACTTACTGCCCACAGAGAGAGCCTGAGGAGGGACACAAACAGAGGCGTCCGGTCCCAGCCTGATATGCAGTGCACCAGGAGGCCACTCTCATCTGAAACAACACAACAGCAACACTGTAAAGTGCTCTTTAAAGGGGCCTTAAGTGCATTATGAACACGTATCATTAACAACAGAGAAGCCTGGTGTAATGTACACCTGATGAATTTAGTGAAGTACTGAAACATTAAATCAGATGACAGAATACTGAATGGGAACTGGGCAGATAGTATTGTAAGGTTATTTATTACAATGTTTGCCAATTGACTAATCACTTCTGTGCATGTGTACAAATGGCACTACTTAATTACAAAAATTTATATTTTCTCTGTATCGTTGTAAATTGAATAGCTTTGACTTTCTGAGCTCTGCTAACTAAAAATTGGGCTCTGTCATTACATCAGCATTTCATTGTCCGTATGAATAATGAAATCAAGAAGGAAAAAAAAGCAAATTAGGCATTAGTTAGCTCTTTTCCATATTCTAATCTTAACGCAAGCCCAAGTAGCAATCTTAAAAGGTCCAGTGTGTAGGATTTAGTGGCATCTAGCAGTGCATATTGCAACTCCCTTGCTTCACCCTCCCTTTCCAAGCGTGTAGTAGAAGCTACGGTGGCTGCGAAATGCGCGAACAACCCTATCTAGAGCCAGTGTTTGGTTTGTCCGTTCTGGACTACTGTAGAAACTAGACAGTTAAACATGCCGGACTCAAATGAAGGCCTGCAGCGTCAGTGAATATTAACAGCTCATTCTAAAGTAACGGAAACACAATGATTCCTATATTCAGGTGATTACACACTAATGAAAACATACTTATGAATACTATATTCAACTTCTGACAATAGATCCTCCTAAATGTTACACACTGGACCTGAACATGAATCTTCAACTAAACCTTCACTTCACATCGTACTCCCTCAAACACAACCACCACCTACCATCAATGTTGATGATGTGAAGCAGCAGTTTCAGGTAGTTCTGGGTCTGCTCCACCAGGTCCCACGACTGAACAACACACACAAACACACATGAGAGTAAATACATTGTTGAACAATAGAGAAAGAACATAATTGGTTGCACAGAGGGGTTTTAAACCAGAAAATGTTCCCTTTAAAGTTGGAAACATAATGATACAGCACACTGGCAATATCATACAGTATATTCTGTATCAGCTTGTTCCAGCTCTTTGTTTAACCAAATGATATATTCAAACCAAAATCTTTTTTTTTTGTTTGCGGGATCATTTTATACACATTTCTCTAACATTCAACCCCATGTACATGGTAGTTTCGTATTCTAAAATAAAGTTATGTGGGATTAAACAATGTTTGGCTGCACGGTGCGAGTCACTGAGGTTTAAACCACACTGTAACTATTACTGTATGTGTGCAGTGCAAGTGGTTGGGAATCATGACCAAAGCACTTTGCAGGTTGGACAACAGATGGCACTAACACACCACAAATAATGCAGAGAAAAACTGAGCCATAGCTGGACGAGAGAGGAGAGAAGAGAAGAGAGGAGAGGAGAGGTAACCTGGTATTGAGTCCAGTCAATGTTCAAGTTCTGGGTAAAGCACACCGGGATTGTCAAAGGAGCGTCCACATAGTCCTGTCAGTGGAGACACAGTGAGACCAGATTAACACAACAAAGCCAAACTACTTTTTAATCCTACACTGAGCAGACTCACAGCAGGCTCTGTACCTGATTCCAGTTGAACACCAGACCCTCTGCTGTGTAGTCTCTGTCTTTGTAGTCCTTAAAAAACTCACACCCTAAAAAAAAGAACAGCAGAAACATATTGACACATATTCAACACACTTTAATGCACCTTCATACTACTTATACTTTAATAGGTCTGGGCTACAGGCAAACTACATGGAAAAGCAATCTGTTGTCATATGTTTAAAATCAAACTCCTATGTCCAAACTGCAGACAGTAATTACAAAGATCTCTTTCCTAACATGTCTGTGTGAGCCTCCTCTTCCTCCTTTCTTACATTGTATAGAATAGTAACACATTGTCTGGTAGGCAACTGTTTTATTCCTGTTTCATGTCATTCAAAATTGTTTGGCATCTCTTTTGGTCCACTTAAATAGTGGAGAAACAGTGCATATGCATCATTTCTGCTACTTTCTTTGAAGTGGTAATAAGCAGGGTTTTTTTTCTTTTGTAATGGACTTCTAAAAATGATTTGTGAATTATATTCTGTAGCCACAATATCAAAATCACTGCACAGCCCAACGCTGTCCCTAAAGGCTTGTTTAGGCAGACATATAGCCTGTCTGAGGCTGATACCAACATAGATATTAAAGTGTTTAAACAATATCTGATGATGATGTGTTGGCTGCAAATGAAACAACAAAATACTTTTATGATTATGTGTTTTTAAATAAATTGTGATAAATGAACTGAGGAGGGTTTTTTTCAGTGTGACACAGTTTCTTAATTACCTCATAGAGATCTTTAGCATTTCTGCAGAGCAGTCTCTTGTTACTATCTGTTGACATATACAGTCATACCTATATATCTGCCAATAAACTGCATGGGCCTGTTCATTGTATCAGTGTATCTGTAGTAGAGTGACTGAGAATGTTTACCAGGGTAAGGCACGGAGAGCAAGGTGAAGTCTGCATAGCGTTGGGCCTTGTCCGCCTTCTCAGAGGATGTCACACTGCAGAGACAGAAAGAAAGAGGCCATGATGAGATACACTGAGCATTCATGGGCAGTATTATTTAATACACAGCACTAAATACAACGCCCTTTGATTTGCTAGAGTGGTTTATCACAGCTATAGCAGTAAGTCATTCGTTATTTCATAATATGTATTCCAGTGTCATTTTCCAGCCTTTCTAGCATTAACATTACTCAATGCCATCTCTTACATCCTTGTTTAGTGTGTCGCTATGTTACCTGCTCTTTTGATAGTTAAATAAATTCCACAGGTAACAGCCACTATCAATAGCCCCTGAAATACCAAGAATGATGTGACGACGATTACAACACTCTATATACACAGACATATACACATACACTTAACTAAATGTAAAAGCAGTGTTAAACTATGACGGAACATGCCGCGTCTTCATCCCCACAATACTCCTGGTCGGAGCCGCTGTAAATCAGCTGGCCTCTGTTGAAGCTGTGAGTCGCTGGGCCCCTCGCTCTTATGCTAGTAGTGTTTAAAGCCTCCCTGTCTTTCGAGGTCACAGTCCAGATACAGACAGCTAATAGGACTGCTAACTAGCTAGTGGCAACAGCTAGTACAGTTAGCATATGCAACAATGCACCGGTGAGTGACTCCCTGTGTTACAAGAGTAAAAGGTCCGAGTTGCAAAAACCCTCTACTTTGGTCCCGGTGAAAAAGGCACAGCTCCTGAACAGAGTTTAACATTGTTTATGTTTTTTGCGACTATCAGATTAATGAAAGACTCTTCACAGTGACTAATGATTAAATCAACTATAAGGGGGCATCCCTGGTAAAAACAGCTGTGTGACAGCTGATGTAAAACAAAGGATCGGATCGGGTCAATAAAACTAAACATAGCTGATACAGATACGTTTAAAAAATGCCTTGCTCGGTGCTGAGAATGACCATTGAGATTGGATCGGGACATCCCTAGACAAAATGTATGTTTTGTTGACAACACGGGATTGGACAATCAAATAAATGAATGATATTGTCCCTCATTAAGTAATTGAAAACGGAGGTAAAGAATCCTAATACCATAGGATAACCCGGCCCATTACGAGAGTCAATCCGCACCAACCAACCCACAAAAATATCCAATCAACCACCTGACACGTGTACAGCACACCACATACACTCAATCTAACTTAATTCACAGCAGAATCTGCGTAAATCCAGAGCCTGACACAAATACACTGAGTCAGAAGTCAGATGCCTCCCGTAAGGTTTCTCCCTCCACAGCCCAGTGGAAACAGTGACCTAGATAATGTGTGGATGAACTAGTCCGTGCTGTTCCTTACTTTAGGCCAAACTTAACCTTCTTGTTCTCCACCATTAGGTCACAGATGTAGCGAACCGAGAGGTAACGTAGCAGCTTAATGTCGTGGCCTCGAACCTTGTCGAAGAGCTGGGAGTCCCCGTTCCTGCAGAGGAGGGAGAGGGAAATTAAATATACAAATTAACTTTTTCTGGGCACATGAGAAAACACATTTTAACACTTCCACTGAGGCCATTCATTGTTGTGTTTTATTGTTATCAAGAGTGGTTAGTGTCACACAAATATTCATCCCACAGACAGGCCAGAGTCTGATGTTTATTGTAGTCTAATCTAGTTCCAGTGATTTGATTACCTGGCTGCGCTGTCATCCTCTGGAACCTCCTCAGACTCCGTCCACGTGTCGTCACTGCCCCCTAGAAACAACAGGAGTGTTAAAGGTGAATATCTTCACTCAAAGTGAAGCTAATGACCAGGACTCAACCTCTTCAGGGTTCCCACTCTTTTTAAAAAATCTTTTTCCATGAGTTTTCTTGACAATACAGGACAGCGCTTGCTCACAAACAGTATAATTTACCAGTAGGCCTAGTTTTGTAGGATTCAAGGTTATTTTATTGTAGTTCCATTTATACTATAAAAATCGATTAATCAGTCATTAAATAAAAACAATTACTAATTTGAATGATGAATTGTAGAGGAAGAATTTAACATAAAGTGGCTGAGGTTCATTACAGGCAGGTGGCCAGTGTTCATGGGACACATTTATTCGGTTGGTTACCAGATTTTTCCGCTGCATGCTCTCCAGTGAACAGACAACATTTTACTAGTTTCCCCCCTGTAACATGACTTTGGCCACATAAGTAGAAGTGATTTAATTTTACTGAACATATTAATCTTCTCACCTATTAGCCTATTAAAAGACATAGTAGAATTGCTGGTCATGTATTTATTAACCACAACGACAAGAAGTTTTTCCACTGGGCTTTTGTGAGAATTCTGCACACATCTCAGGAAAAAACGCACTCAACGCAGAAAAGATAGCTGCAAGTTTGTTCCACACCTGATCAGCCCACTCTGAAGTGTCACACCATGCAGGTTCTCCTACCAAAATATGTAGGCAATCTGAGACATGGATCTGAGTGAGGGGCTAAAACAGTTACAGTTCAATTGTTCCAGGACATGTATTATTTCCAGGATATTTGGTCATTTGAATCAATTTCCAGGTTTCCCGTGTTTTTCAGGACGTGTGGGAACACTGATTGGGTTGGTTTTAGGGTTTAAAACCTTTTAGAGCAAATTCTTTAAGTCTTAAGGTAAATATAAGGGACACAATTGTGCTTGAAACAGGCACTGAATACGGGCAACTATAAGATTTTTGATTGGATATTTGAAATCCAAAATCCTTCTGCGATCAATGTAATCTTGGCCTTCTCTTTTATACTTTTTTGGCAAAGGTTTATTGAAGTTATCCACTGAAATGTCATAATAATAATAAATAATTTATTTTTATACAGAAAAATCTGTTATATAAGAGCCCAACCAATGAATCAGCTACCCGATATTATCGCCCAGTTTTATCTTCTCACAGATAAATCAGAGTGGTGCAGGAATGAGTTACCATTTTAGCATTCTAGTTCCCTACCCTCGAAGTCAGTGGGTTTTTAAAATGGATTTTTGGTTAGATGCCTGAAATAAGGTCTGTGGTTAAGATATTTTTATGTTGTGTTCTATGACATAAAATATGTCAGTAAATACCCCACCTGTGAATTCTGAAGCTTTTACGTGTTGCTAACAAGTGGCTAAATGAGACTATAGAGGTTTTTGGTGAGACTGATCTACTCACTAGTCCACCTTTACAGCCTCACTGTGTTTATACTTTTGCAAACTATTCTAACTCAAACTCAAAACTGCTGATACATCATCACCCTTACACTCATGGGAACTATTTCACAGTTAAAATACAGGTATAAATCAAAACAAGTCCTGATCAATTAGAATATATTAAATAATCCTCAGTAGATCTGCATACCCCATTCTCGCCCACATCAACTCATCTGCAGGACTATCTGTATTTGTCACAATAAATACAGACAGGGTAGTTGACACAGCAAGTTTGACTCAGCACACTGTTAGCTGTTTGTTTGGGAAGGATGCACTTTGAGATGACATCTAACTCTTGTTCCCATGGAGGTTGAAGGCACTTATTGTAAGTGCTTTGGACAAAGGCATTTGCCAAATGAATAAAGGTAATGTGAAAGCCCAGTCAGCAATCTGGGTCTACAAGTTTCTCCACCTAGCTTAATTTGCTAATAGTTCACAAAACCTGTTTAAGTAGTATTGTGTGTGTGTGTGTGTGTGTGTGTGTGTGTGTGTGTGTGTGTGTGTGTGTGTGTGTGTGTCCCTTCCGTCCATCGCTCTGCTTGGTGTTGGCTAATTGCTACATACAGTGGATATAATAAGTCTACACACCCCTGTTAAAATGCCAGGTTTTTGTGATGTAAAAAAAAATGAGACAAAGATAAATCATGTCCAAACTTTTTCCACCTTTAATGTGACCTATAATGTGAACAATTCAATTGAAAAACAAACTGAAATCTTTTAGGTGGAAAAATAAAAAATAAAAAACTTACAATAACCTGGTTGCATAGGTGTGCACACCCTTAAACTAATACTTTGTTGAAGCACCTTTTGATTTTATTACAGCACTCAATTTATATCCACTGCACATATCGCCACTGCTTCAGACCAGTGCAACCTGATCACAAGGAGCTCAAGCAAAAAGGACATCAAAACAGAATCACAGTAGGTCTGTCCCAATAATTACGTTACCAACATATTCTACAATATATACCATATGTAACTGCCGTGATATTGAATTATCATTTTAGCCAAAATGATGCAGGGTTCCCACTCTGCTTTTTCCAGGAGTTTTACTTGATTATACAGGACAGCAACTGCTTACCAACAGTCATATAAGCTGTGGTTTTGAAGAGTTCATTGTACGTACGATTAACATAACTGTCCATGTATTCATCAAACACAGGAACAAGAAATGTTATCATTAATAGGCTGTATGCGTGGAGATATGAGGATTTCCCTCGTAGCTCTGAAAAAAAACCACTGCAAGTCAGTTCCACTTTGACACTTCAAAGCGGGTTTACCAGATACACAGTTTAACCCACCAACAGGATTACGTAGGCAATCTGAGTGAGGAGCTAAAATACAAAAGAATCCATGTCAGTATAGATTATTTCCAGGATATTTGGTCATTTTAATCAATTTCCTGGTGTTTCCATTACTGAAAAATGAGTCTCTAAATGTTCAGGACTCATGGGAACCCTGATGATGCCAGAATAAAGAACAGGGTATTCCCTACTGTTACTACATTGCCTGTTAAGGAATGAAGATTTGTAGGTCAGGGCATCTCTGCAGCACTACAGTACTTCATTATAATGCTGTTTATCACACATTTTACCTTCATCAAAAAAGATATTGGACTTTGCCATATTGCGATTTCGATAATATTTCAATTCATTGTGCAGCCCTAGTATATCATCTGACAAAAGTAGTTATTATAACAGGCCTAAATCAGAATTTAAAGCCTTTTGAAACATTTCTGTATACTTCCCTAAACTAACTGTCTTGTCCCACACTGTGGTACTGCATGAGCTCCTGTTACTACACGTCATTATTGGCTTTAAAACTCAAAGCACATTCAAACACAGACTTCCTAAAGGTAAAGAAACACTACACCATAGTTACACCTGTGTATACCCTTTACCTATACCATACATATACAATTTGCTGCAGAAAGCAGGTGTGGCTGTTGGATTGCCAGTTTCAAAAACTTACAAAACTTGTTCAACGCAGCCACACCTTTATCTAACCACCTGGAAGAAGGAAGAAGTTTTCCAGCAGAGCTAGGGGGCCTCTCCTTCTCATACCATAAACATGGATCACAATACATTCACATGAAACTTAGGGGATAAACAAATTGTATCTTATTTCCATAGTTTTGGTCATCAAAAATCTGGTAAAACAACAACATTGCAACAATGAACTCGCTCAGAAAAACAAGCAGTCAGACGATCAAAGCCAGTAGTTTAGTGGTATTAACTACCCGACAACCATGCTGATCATTGATTAATCATTTCACTGAAAACCTAAACATTTGATGGTCCCAAGTAAACTGAATATTTTGGGGTTCTGGACAGCAGATTGAACAAAATAATAAATTTAATGATGCCACCTTGGGCTCCAGAATAGTGGTTCTAAACCTTTTTGGTGTCAAGGACCCCCAGATTAATACACATCAGGCTGCTGACCCACATTAACATACATATCTCAGGGGTCCCCGTCTGATAATTCCATTACTATTCCATAACTGTCTGTACTGTAGATTGGCAGATTAACAGTGAAGAGTGTGAAACCTATGAACAGAATAGTCACTCTCATACAGTGTCTCATTGGGCTAACTTCTAGCCAATGAAATAATAGTGATATTCCTGGGCACCCCCTGAAACCTCCTCAAGCACCCCAGGTTGAGAACCACTGCTCTAGAATACCATGACTGGCACTTTTTGTTTTTTGTTTTAATGATTCTTTGCTCTGTTTTATGGACTAAAGGATTAATCAACCAAATGAGAAAATAATCAATACATAAAATCTGTAAACAAGTGGTTTCCCAACCTGGGGGTTGAGACCCTATTAGGGGTTGCCAAAGCATCACAGGGGATCACAAGGCCTTCTTGATTTTGTGTAAACAATTAAAAAAATTAAATGAAAACTATACACAGCAGACCTATATTTCAGCATTTTGTCTAATTCTGTGTAAAAGAGTTAAATGAAATTGTTTGCTTAAATAGAATGTATGATTATAAAACATTAAACCAAAAATACATGATTTCAGACAGAATAGTATAAAAACCATATACTATATAATAACTACTTTCCTGGGCCTTTACAGCTATCAGAAACCTCATCTCTGATCAATATTCACAGGAAGTAATCTGCTCAAAATTCATCCACATTGCTCATTTTACAGACGACCACCCACCTAGAGCCGAGGGGTCTGTCCTAGGTTTCTGCCTCTTAAAAGGCAGTTTTTCCTTGCCGCCGTCGCCAAGGTCTTGCTCATGGTGGTACTGTTGGGTCTCTGTAAATGTTATAAGGAGTGCAGTCTAGACCTGCTCTATTTGAAAAGAGTCCTGCAGTGATTGTGTTCATTATTCGGTCCTGTACTGTTAGTATCCATAAAATATGTCACTGGTCAGGGGTTGTCAGTTTACTCAATAATGGAACAGAGGTCCCTTAAGGAAAAAGGTTGGGAACCACTGCTGTAAACTGTGATGTTTTGGATAATCATTCTGTGATTCTGCACAATCACAGCATTCCCAGATCTCTGCAATCAACTGTGAGAGTACAATGTGTTTATACTTGATAGTAATTGTAAGTCATTTGTAGCCAAAACTAAAAAAAAATCAGACCCAAGCAGCCAGTAATAATTTGATCACATTACTGTATGTGCTGAAAAAGACTCATTTTATTATATGTTGTACTTCCTGACTCTGAATAAAGCTAACCCCCAGTCAGCCATTTAGAGGAACATTAAGTCCCATTAGGAAAAGTCTGACAGCTGCCTGACAACCGCTGCAACTGTTCACGGGTCAGAAAGCACACGCAGAACTGAAACCTCACATGGAAAATAAGTCAGCCACAACTTCCCCTGTTTAGGTTAAATTTAAGTTGTGTGCATGTGTGTGTTGTACCTGAGAAGATGTAGTTGTAGCCCGTGCGTCCGTACAGCTCCCCCCATCCTGCCAGAGTGGATGACCGGCAAATATGCTGTAGTGAGGAACATACAGGACCAGTGTTATTATACATACCAGCATGCTGTTACAATCATTAATATCCTGTCACCAGGCTCAACCTACAGAAAAGAGGTAGTGGCTGGCAGCCACAGAAAGACTGATCAGAAGCGGTCACGCTGTTCCTTATTTTACATCCATAACCAGCCCTGCTTAGGCCTGTTACCTGTGTGTTGTAGTACACAATGCAATGCCGCTACTGTCTTTGAGAACAGTTTCATAATGAATACACTAACCTTTCGATTTGTTTTCTTGTAATGGGAGTAAGACTAACTGACTTTAGTCTTCCGTGGGAAGGGGTACAATCTGCATTCATTCCAAAGTCAAATGACTCTGCAGCAGTCAGTGGTATTTATCGGCTCCAGCTCTGATCAGTAGTCAGGGAAACATGACACCCGAGTGGACACGCTAGTTTAGCTCCTTTTCCAGCATAATCCTGTTCTATATTATTTACTGTTGTTTAGAGCGTTTGGGAACAATGTGCAAAGGCTTTTTGGTTTTTCGTATCCTGCAAAATGCAACACTCGCGAGACATGTCTAAAGAGACATGTCACCAGCACTGTGGACATGGGTCTGACTATGCGAAATGCGCTTCTTTGGCTCTGATATAGCCACCTCTCTCTGTCTGTAGTTCCACTCTGATTGGCTGCACATCAAGAGTGACAGCCTTTCAACACTGAAGGCTGCTGTGCCACAGATGGGGAACTGTTAACACTCAAATAAAGTACCTCAAAGTTGGGCTTTAGTACAGTAAATGTAGCACTTCACTCTAGATTCTGATGCTAAGATTTTCATTTTACAGCAAACGTATACCGGTTCCAAATATCGTGTAACGGTTTCCTTGATTACTAATAATCTGTGTATGAATTGTGTTTGCATTGCTACATGACGGGACCCTCAACCATTGGGTCAGCGTTCTGTTGTTTGGGCCTTCCATAAGAGAATCTTGTCATATTTGGTGTCACTTGAAATGCCCAGAATATGACATGTATAGTATAATGTAGAGGAGGACTTAAACACAATTACTTGAAATGTTTTAGCTTATTAAGAGAATGCTGAGCACTGATGTTAAACCCTGAGCGGAGACTGCAGTTTCTGCAGCATAGCAGCAGTACCTTGCCATTGTAGAGGATGACGGGACAGACGAACCTCCCTCTGCAGCGAGCCAGCTTACTCCGGTTCACCAGGTCCTGCAGCTTACTGATCTGCACTGTGCTCTCAAACCTGCACACGCAAACCACCACGTTTCACCAGTCAGTCAGCAGCGTTAACTATACACTGTAATAACTATCAATTGTTCTCATCTTCTGATCATTTCTGCTGCGCTGTGGCGACATTTAAAATGTGTGACCACAGAAAAAGTTTTAAATGACAGAAAGTTGTCTGGGCCAGACAGCCAAATTCACCATACAACTGCGCTCATTTACATATTCTTCTGCTTCTGTTGTCAGGCAACTGAACAAGTTTGAAATTGTGATTTTAGCACTGCCCATAAACACTATATGTACCTACCAAGTTGCTGTGATCAAATGTGATCTGTGGTCGATTCTATAATCGTGACTTTGTCTGACACAGTCAACATAAATCCAAGTCATTTAAGAAGCTGAAACCAGAGAATGTCTGGCGTTTTTTTCTTGAAAACTGACGATCCAAACAGTTGCCAAATAATTTTCTGTCAAACGGCTAATAGATTAATTGACAATTTCTTGCAGCTTAAATATTAATATCATTTTTGCATCAAAGGGATGAAAGGGCTGGATTTTTAAAAACGTAACTAATTCACCAGATAAGACAAAAACAGACGTTCCTCTCTGCGTATTTTATCCATAAACAGTTTCTTAACTTATTTTACAGAAAGTTTAGTTTATCACGTGTACAGTGAGAGAAGATAATAGTAGGGGGAGGGGGAAAAAAATATTACTCAGTATTGTTATTCTATTTTTTTTATCCATTTTTGACTACTGAATCAATTTGTATTAATTATTAACTAATCATTATATAACTATATATGACTGACTAATTAACTTAATCAGCAGAGCAACAGCTAAATGTAGCGGTTTACTTCAAAAAGTATTTTATTTGCCACTTTTATAAGTAGAATGGCTGTGATGCTGCTGAAATAAAACTCTGAGACTGACTGACATGTGATGTGCATTGTTTTTGGAAATATGATAGATGATATACAGTCTCTAAAAGTGTATGATTTAGCTTTTTTCCCACGGTCTAGTGTTAAAAAAGATAACCAAAATCATAAACAATATCATATATCAAATCAGCACCAAAGTATCATGATAGCATTGAATGGGAGATAACCATATCATCCAAATGGATCCTAATTGCCCACTCCTGGCAAGAACCAGAGCATTGATAAATTACTTGATATTTTCATCAATTACATTTCTGTCCATTAACTTATAGACTGACAAATTGTTTCAGCCCTACTACATACTACCTCGACTCTGTTGCTGCTATAAATAACATATATAATAATAATAATAATAATGAAATGTTATTTCCCAGTTTATTACTTTGAATTGTGGGAAACAACTTCAGGACAGAATATGAAATGAAAATATTATGCTGTGAGGAAACATTCTCTGTGCACTGGGGGATTTGCCAGACCAGGAGTTTTATTTAATATAGACAGTATATGAAAGCCTTTGTAGTGAATAACGGTTTTGCTCCTATGTTCTATTTCCAGCACTACTGCGGAAAATAGCTCAACTGCATTAATCAGAAATGAGAAATAAGGATTTAATGAATCACTGCAAATTTCCTATTTCTGCCTACAACGTGATCTCATGTGACAGAACAGTCACTTTACCCTTCTGCTGCCTTGATGCGATCAGAGGGGCAAGAGACGGAGGCTGACCTTTGCTCCCTGTCCCACAGTAAGGTGTGCATGATTAGAGGAGGGACACAAACAAACACAAGGGTAATTGGTAACTGAGTGCACTGGACTTTGTATCTGAAAATGATGGACTGGCCAAGTGGTGGACAGGTACCTGTCTCTCTCGACATCTGTGCACTCATACTCCAGGAAAACTATCTGCCGTGGGTAATGTCCACACACTTCTCCATTGGCGTTGTGGATGATACTGTACTTGTAGTCTCTGGCAAATAAGTCCAGACAACGCTTCTCTATCGCCTCCACCTGAGGGGAAACAAAAGCAAAAGTTATGCTAGTAGTTTGGAATTAACCTACATTTTTATTTGGAAAATGACAGACCTTTTTTTATCAGTCATCGACCTTAGATGCAGACCCCCATGTCTACCAGCAAAGTGAATGTCCCTTACCCATTCAGTACGTCACTATGCAGGGTAAGGATGGAACACCATTCAAGTCATTGAGAATCATAATAATTTTATGACTGCTGGCACTGTAAGCAGTAGGCACTCTGCTGATAGCAAACATGAGTCAAAATAACCCCTGCTGGTCTGAGGTGGAAAGCTGTGTCTGTGCATAAAAACACAGTAAATGTATGGAAACTAAGTGAAGCTTGGTGGATCAGATACAGGCCGAACTGAGCAGTGGCTCCTTAAGATTGTTAAGATGTCATATACCACTACCTGCAGTATATGTTGTTTTGCTGGTGTGCAAGATAACTTTCATTTCCTTGATTCTGCAAGGGAGTTCAGCTTTTCGCTCAAACAACAGAGAATGACAGGTTGTCAAGTAGCTAAAACCCACATCGAGTAATGATGCCAAAACTCACCCGAGGAGTTACTTCCTTCGCTCTGTACTGAATCTTGGAAAACAAATCTATCAAATCCGCTATTTCCTCGCTCTTTTTGACCGACAGACCGGAGGCCGTGAAGCCGCCGGCCGCGGAGGGGGAGGCGGCCATCATAGCGCCTCGACCCGCGGTGGTGGCCTCTAGCCGAACTCGACCTCCTTCAAACACCGCGGAGCCTTGTCCTCTGGAACGGGAAGACCGACCAGGCCATCCCTTCCCAGCCAGCTTATTCCTGACTGCCCGCTTGAGGGGGCCGGAGCCGGGGATTCTTCCTGAATTCAGGGCACCGGCGCGCAGCTCCACTCTCCAAACACAAGCCGTTAGCCAGCCCGCACAGCCGGCCACTCACACCACGGCGGCTGCCGCTGCTACTGCTAGCGGAGTTAGCACTACTAGCTAACAGGCTAGTTGAGCTTCCAAGGCGTATGTTGGTCGTTCCCACTAACTCAGACCCGCATTTGAGACTATTTCAGGCCTTTGTAGTCCTCCACATCACCACCGTTTCGTTTGCGACACCTGCTGAAGTGATGCCCGAGTCCCAGCACCAGCTAACTGAACTCCCGGTCAGCTGGAGACAGGAAATCTCCAGGATCCTTCCCGGCCTGCTCACGTTTGCTCAATGTCACGTCTTCATGTCGCCTTAGTAACCACGGCCATGATGATGAACGGATTAAAGACGTACAGAAGTCGACCCCGTGGCTGCAGGACCTCGGTGTAGCATATGTTGTTGTGGGCGAGAGCCCCAGCAGTGGAGAGTGGTGTCGCAATCGGTGTACTACAGTCTGAAGGTACAACAGGCGGTAAACAGGAAGCTGACACGACCACGTGACAGCCATCTCCCCCTTTAAATGACGTTTGTTGTTGTTCAGAGCGAGGTCGGATGTTTTGGACTGAGCAGCCACAGTTTGTTTACTCAGAACATCTTTCTGACGCTGCGAACAGAGGTCTTTCTCCCATGTGAGATCTTACCTCTATAGAGTAACTCATCCTAGGCCAATTTAAGAACAACCTCTATTATATATTCCCCTGCCCTGCTCCCTAATTCCCCTTGTCAAGTTGGCCATAAACAGTGTTGGGCTAGTTAAATTTAATGTATTACTCATAATTCTTTTCAAAAGTAATATCATTACTTTACTTAGTTACTTACTTTACTTAATGCATAGATTATAATCCAGTTTTCTTTATTAAAATCAAATAAAGTAATATTTTCAACTGCTGAAAGTGTTTCCTCCACAATTACAAGAATGTATCCAGGGATGTGATTGGATGGTTGGATTTCAGATAAGTAAGCCGTGCCAGAAAATGTAGTTGTAACAAGTTATATTTTGTGGTGGTAACTGTAATATTATTACTGATTATTATTACTATTGTATTACTAGTAATGAGTAACTGCCCAACACTGGCCATGACACACTTTAATATGAGAAATGTCCTTAAATGATAAAACAAGCAACCTCTTCACTATCTTTTTCCACAAAGGAAAGCAAAACAAGAGAAAAAGCAATAAAGTAAATATATAATAATGTGGAATTTTTAAAAGGCAGGAATAAACATGTGATCAAGACAAAACCAACATTTGGAAGTCTTCAGAATAGCCCGTCACCGCGGTCTATAATCGACATTGGGTCAGTTTATATTGAAATGTCATCATCCAATCCATTAGATTACAAAAATAAAATGTGATCTAATCTGAATACTTTTGCATTACTTCAAAATCTAACACTGAAAATATTGCACTTAAACCAAAGAAATGGATGCAGTCAAAAAGAAACCCATAAATAAAGTCCCACAAATGTTAATTTCTCACTTTAAACATCTACAAGCATTTTCAGTGCAAATAAAATTCATTTAGTAAATTCAGCATTCACAGATGATGAAAATGGATAACACTAAATGTCTTCTGTGATTATTTATCAGTTTTTAAATGTTTAAAACCATTGTTGTTGTTAGCAAACTTGTTAGTTGTCCACTGGCAGTCCCATGATGCCTCGGGTTGAGTTTGTCGACCTTTCAGAGGCTGTGAGTGCACGTGTGTGGCCGCTCTGATCTCAAATGCATTGCACGATGGAATAACATGAGTTGACTTCATTCCACTCCACCAGATCTATAGAGTTAATGAAGAAAGCTTTAATCATTTTTAAAATTATATTTTTATTTTATTTTAAAAATGAAATCAAAAATGTAATAAAGTAATCCATGACAATGTAACTATAATCTGATTGCATGCACTCTAAAACAAGACAAGTTAATTTAACAAAAAAAAATTGAGGGTAAAAATAATCTACATAATCTTTAAGTGACATTAATTTATACATGAGACTGTGAAAGTGGAATTTAGCACTCAGTATTAATATCATCCAGCCACACAGCTAAATGAATACTTAATGTGCTGTTACGATGGCAAACATGAACACTTCGTGCTGCTTTCACACGTCATGTATTCAACCATGTGTGAATCAAGTTCATGATATAAGCTCTCCATATGATTTACCAGAATCTTTTTTATAGAATAATATACAATATTCAGTTTATTCTAATCACCTTTTTACAATGTAAAACATATTAAAATGAAAACTAGTCAAGAACTGAGCATACCAATCTTATCCAGGGCTTCTAACTGTTTCACCATATATCTATCACAACTTTCTTTGTGCTGCTGCCCCACTGCCTACAGCTGGTGCCCTTTTTATTTTTTTCGCCCCTGCCCCTTTAAACAGTCCACCACTGACATGGTTATATATATAAATAACTGTGTAACTTCTTGCTTGGGGACATGGCTGGCCCCAATCAATCATCCATTCCCTGTACTATCTATAGACTATCTATGATATTTGAATGTAGGAATAAGGGATCCATTTTTTTCTCTCCATACTAGTTCTGATACCGCAACTCAAGGTACATGTTGATTTCATTTCAATTCAATTCAATTCAATTTTATTTGTATAGTGCCAATTCATAACAGAAGTTATCTCAGGACACTTTTCAAATAGAGCAGGTCTAGACCGAACTCTTTATAACATTATTTACAGAGACCCAACAGTACCACCATGAGCAAGGACTTGGAGACGGGGGCAAGGAAAAACTCTAGGACAGACCCTTTCGGCTCTAGGTGTTGATACCAGATCCAATACCAGTGCTTCATTTTCCCAAATCTCATATGTGTATTATACCTTGGCATGTGGACTTTTGTTGTGATTTCTATCTAAAGTTACATCAGGAAATGTATTTCTGTGGCACACACACACACACACAAATATAAACAATTTTAATATTAAAACTGCACACTTTATTTAGAGTCAATAAAGAAAGACGCTTTGGGTTGGTGGCTTGAAGACTGAAGTTGACTGTTGAGTCTAATTCCCAGCATCAATATTTGACAACCTGGAAATGAGACTCAACAATCAACTATCTTTCTCCATTCTCACTGGCTGTTTTCATTCAGGCCCGGTGGATTCTTACAAATACCATTAGGAGCTCTAGGAGGAGCCAGAGGAACCTCATTTTTTCACAGATTTTCTGTCTCATGTACTACTGTCAGGATATAGTGATTTTTATAAAAGTTAGCTATTGGAGCTATAATCCAGTCCAATCAGTCCAGTTGATCAGATCAGTGTATCCTTAGGTTTGCTGTGTGGTGATTTGATTCAGGACACATTAATTTAAGAGTATGCAACATGTACATGCAATATCAACTGAAACAAGGAAAGTCATAAAACTGAACTTGACCCAGGTCCCTCCTTCAAGATTAAAACCAGGCTTTGGGTATTATGTATTATGTAAGTTTAGAAAACTCGTACTTTCAAGGGAGCTGTCTTCATTCAATTTTTTAGTTTTTAAGTCAAATTAAACTCTTGTGTGTGTTGAATTTTGCTCTCCATCAATGATAATCTATTTAATTTGCAAGTACCAAAATGAATCTAGTTCACAGCTCACTGAACCATTTTTTCAAGTACAGAACTGTTTGTTTCCAAGGAAAAAGAATTAGGTTTTTCTAAAGAAGAAAAGTAAATCATCTCAACAAAATATTATGTCGGCCAAACTTTAACTAACTTAGTTAGTTAAGTAAAAAAGTTAGTTTTTTACAGTGTAATCAGATTACAGTTAAATTTTGTAATTGGATTATTTAATAGAATTACAATTTTAAAATACACTGAAAGGACTCATTTTTTATGGTAAAACTCTTTCATTTCGGTAATATTTTTCCCTTTCCATTTTCTTTTCAAAGGTTACGTTTTTCTGTTGTCTTACACAATGCACTTACATCAATACTTCTTGTTGACATTTCTGTTCTCTTGTTTGTATTTTCATATTTGTTGCTGAGGTAATCCAAAAGTAACAGACAGTAATCACGTTACCTCACCTAACACTAACATTAAAACAGGTCCCTTCTTCACCATAACCACTTTTATGTCAGTTGATATTTAGTGTTGTATACTTCCAGTCAAGTCTGTACACTGTAAAACCAGATAAGTTAATTTCACTCCAAATATTGTTGAAACTGATTACATCAAAATGTTTTAAGTAAAACGAACAAAATGTTTTAAGTAAAAAAAAACGTTCTTGATGAAGTAGCTTTAGTAATTTTAAGGGACACTGACTTAATTTTGTAATTTTTTGTACTGTGAAAACAAAATTCCTAAAAAAAAGTTATTACGGAATGTTTCTGTAATTTACAAAGCTAGTTAGTACCACTTGAAATTAGAAGTAAAAGCGGCGTTTGTGTTAGTTGAAAATGATTTATTTATTATTAATGCAACACTTAATTAATTAATGTGTGTGTGTGTGTGTGTGTGTGTGTGGCTGTAGAGGGAGGGGGTTGTTCAGATTTCTGCAATATCAAAAATCATCCACAAGTCGTTCCTCGGTTGCGCGCACGGAGAGAGAGAGAGAGAGAGAGAGAGAGAGAGAGAGAGAGAGAGAGAGAGAGCGATACCCGGAGAGTAAGTGAGAGAGTCACAGCATCCAAACCCACAGTCATTGGGTTGCTGGTGTGATTTATATTTTTACACATTTTTTCACGTCACGTCAAATGTTCCTTTTTCATAAACTTTTTATTCTTGACTGAAGCATGCCAGAGGCTGCATCATCATCACAATCATTTCTTTTGGATCTCTGTTCTTGTGCGGAGGATTCATCATCATCATCATCATCATCATTATCTCGGGAAAACTCGACGGGTGCATCTCGCATCTTCTTTGAAGCCTTTCGGGTCTGAGCGCACAGCAGAGCGGACCCCGTTGTAGAGAGAGAGGAGGCGAAGCGCTGGAAGAAGACGATGCCGCTCATTCCGTCCGTCGCTGGCTGCTGTCTGGCTCCCTGAGATCGGCTGTCGGCTCCGCTGCCTGTACGAGCCGAGAGGAGCGGAGGAGAGGGCAGGCTTTTCCCGTCAGTTGAATCACGCTCCGCCACTGAATTGACTGACTGATCTGAGGGGAAGAAGGGAGGAGGAGGAGGAGGAGGAGGGGGGGGGGGGGAAGCATTTGGATGTGAGACTAATAAAAAAAAAAGAGAGATAGCAGGATCTAGATCTGTTGATTGACCGGGCTTCAGGGGGGAGAAGGGGGACCAGTCACTGGACCTTTGGCCATTTTTTGCGGAGGAATTCTTTTTTATTATTATTTTCTTTTTAAATTTTCCTTTCACCCTTTCTACCTACGGACAGAGGAGGCTAAAAGGGAGATCAAGAGAAGAGGGAACACCAGGTTGACGCTGCTGTGCGTGGGGGGGTTGGGGGGGTGGGAGAGAAAAAATGCTGCCCTCGCAAGAAGCCTCCAAAATCTACCATGACAACTACATGCGAAACTCCAGGGCCATCGGGGTCCTGTGGGCAATATTCACCATCTGCTTGTCCATCATCAACGTGGTGGTCTTTATCCAGCCCTACTGGATCGGCGACAGCGTCAACACCCCCCAAGCCGGCTACTTCGGCTTGTTCCACTACTGCGTGGGCAACGGGAACTCCAACCGGGAGCTCTTGTGCCAGGGCAGCTTCTCCGACTTCAGCTCCATCCCATCGGGAGCCTTCAAGGCGGCCTCGTTCTTCGTGCTGATGTCCATGGTGCTCATCCTCAGCTGCATCGGCTGCTTCGCCCTCTTCTTCTTCTGTAACACCGCCACGGTCTACAAGACGTGCGCCTGGATGCAGCTGCTATGCGGTAAGGATGGAAGACACTTTGTTGTGTTTCTGAGGGGGAAGGAAGGTGTGGGTGAATGGGGGGTCCTGACAACCCATTTGTTTTTTTTTGGGGGGGCACCTTGAGGAGAGGAGCATCAGTATCCCCACCTCACCTCTCCTGCGTTAAATTACTCTATCTCTTTGTCATTAATGTCACCATCGCCCAGATCCTCCACTGGATGAGCGCATCGCTCTTTCTGTGCACGAACACAGCACGGGGGGGACTTGCGTCCTCATCAGTGGCAGCACCTCCCTCTGTCCCTCTCCTGTGGGGTGCTCCCCATAGCTTAGAAGTGAGCCGAAATGTGATCTTGCACTTGATGGAGAGGAAAAAGAAAAAATAAGTCCTCCAAAATGTATCTGGAATCTCATGTGAGGGTTCAGGTTCATCCCTTGAGAGTTTGGTGACAAAGTGAAAAAATAACATCTTAGTCATCACTCACTATTCCACTGTGTCACCAGACATTTTGCCAACACTAAGAGGTTTTGAAGCCCTCCTGGCAGACCCTGGGTCTCCCCCCAAAAAAGCCATCATTGTGACACTGCCTGTTCTCTCTCATCTGGCTGGTCGAGATAATGTGTAATTGTATGGAATTATGATAATGAAATGCCTTCAGCAGCGTTGCATCAAACATCACAGCTTCTATTTTGGTTGCCATATCTGCCTACCAGATTAGCCTGCATTATGCATGATCTGCACTTGCATTCCAGTAATGTATCCCCACTCAATGCACTCATCCATCTGTGCACAAGCTGGAGCAAACTTCATGTAAAGGCTGTACTGTGTATGTAATTGTATTAGGAGGTGCAATAAGCTGTCAGATAGACACAGCTGAGCAGATTAGAGAGGGACGTTGGAACAGAGACTGTGTCGGGTGCAGTGGGGGGGAATGGGACCAAACTAATTAAGAGTTTTTTCATTATTGATAATTTAAACCTTCAGCTTCACCTCTCATCTTCTTCCCTACAGTCATAGATATGCTATATGTATAAGGTGTGTGTGTGTGTGTGTGTGTGTGTGTGTGCGTGTGTGTGTGTGTGTGTGTGTGTGTGCGCGTGTGTGTGTGTTCAATCCTAGGCCAGGATTTTCCTATCACTGAGCCCTGAACAGATTGTATCAATTCAGGTGGAGCCTACAAGTGTCTCCCGCAAGCTCAGTCGACATCAAAGAATCCCCTGGTGGATTCCTAATCACACAAACTGCTAATTAACTAGACGTGATGCAGATGAAACTGGTCTCAAACGTGTTCAAAAAGGCAGGTGGGAGATGAGTTTCAGCATGCATGAAGATGAGGTCTGATTGGCTTTTTGTGGAGTTTTCTTTCTCTACCCCTGCAAGATTATTTCATAAATCACCTCTCCAGTGTTCTCACTGACATGGTACACAGTGTTGTGTTTTTGTGTGTGGATGGAGGAGGGTTAATTGTGCTTTGGTCTGGAAGGGCTGACATTATCTGGGAGGAGGTATTGATGGCTAGATTATTCCTTCCCACAAGGCAGCTGGAGCCGGAGCTGTGTTGGTGGCGGTGGACTCGGGACCTTTAAAAAGCATCGACTTTTTTGCTGCACTCTGTGTCTCTGCATGAGAGATAGGCAAGAAAACAAAGAGAGATCGACGCCAAGAGACAGATAGAGAAATTAAGAGACGGAGGAAAGGGGAAGTGAAAGGGTAGAACTAAAAAAATACAGAATAGTCTTCCAGTAGATGGGTTGCAGCATGGAAGTAGAAAACAGACTGTGTTTACTTAATGTCTGATATGACATTAAGTAATTTCCATATTAAAGCTGCAGTAGGTTACTTTTATAAAAATATTCTTTTATAATATTTGATGAAACCTGTACTATATCCTGACAGTAGTACATGAGACAGATAATCTGTGAAAAAATCAGGTTCCTCTGGCTCCTCCTAGTGCTTCTAATGACATTTGTAAGAATCCACCGGGCCTGAACAAAAACAACCAATCAGAGCCGAGGAAGATAGTTGATTGTTGAGTCTCTTTCCCAGATTTTTAAATACCGAAGCTGGAAATGAGACTCAATAATCAGCACTGTAGGAACAAGAAGATACACTGATTTCTGACTTGAGGGGACTTCAAGTTAGAGTCAAAAGTTAGAATAAGTGTTTTCAATAGCCCAAAGCTAATGATATGCAGGATGTAGGATATGTACCTTGGTGTCAAAGTCCCACTTTTTGCATCCACCATGTGTGCCATACAAGAGTGTATGGACTAGAACATAATCCAGCAGCAGACAGCAACTATTAAAAGGGAAAAATAAAATAGTAAATAAACATATTTTCTAGGAGACAGCTGAAGACTGTCAACAAGAATGAATAGAAGCTGGAACAGCAAAGACAGGGTCTTGTGTAGGTGTATTTGTATGCATGAGATATATTTTTTATGATTAATAATCATGTGAATCAATCAGCCTCATTTAGAATGTTCACATCTTATTTCTGTCTTCTCCCTGTGCCTTTGACCACGGTTGGCTGCCATTAGTCAGGTACCACAGAGGTCCTGTCTGAACACTGCATCATGTCTTGTCTTATCTGTCTCGGGGCTGTTATGCAACATTATGAAGGGGAGCTTCCTGTCTGCGGAGTTTCTGTGTTTCACACACATGAAGACAGTTAGCTACATGTCATTTCCAGCAGAGGTCCTTACCAAAGCATTACTGTCTGTTAAGACTGCTGAGGTTCCTCTCCTGACTGCCACAAAGGTTACATTTGACATTCTATGGAGGAAGCTGCCATGTAGGAAGGTTTCAAATACAATTCCTCCTCTTTCCTCAGAGTGGGTAATTCTTCTCTCTTTCCACCCCTTCCTACATTACCTTGTTTACTCTTCTCCATTTCATTCCACATAAGCAAGTCTTCCCTCGTTCCGCCTTAACAGCTTCCCCGGTCCTGCTGGTGTTTCCTATTGACACATTGAGTATCAGCAGTAGCTTCAGAGGTGTGAAACTGAGAAAACTCTCACACCGCATTAGTTTTACACTTCTCCTCTCAAAACACTAACAAACGGAGAAATGTTATCACATTTGTTCATGATTTTTAACAGTTTTCTGTTGCTGTGGGAAAAAACACTTTCTGCGTTAGACGTATGCTCAAGTACTCCAAGGAAGAAAAACAACACATGATTTTTCTCTTATCCTGGTGTTAATGTAGCAAACATGATCGTACTTACTGAATGATAGGCTTCAGTGTTCCAGAAAGCTTTCCTTCATGCTCAGATAACTCAAAAGTAAGGAATCATACATTAATGCCATTTTCCCCCGTCTTGTATTTTCCCTTAACTAGCAAGCAAATCATGTCATGTTTGTGACTGTTTTAAATGCTGGCATGAGCTCAGCTGTAAGCTCAGTGATCTATAAAAGATCAGTCCCATAGGTGGTTTGCTGGGTCAGTGCAAAATAGTGCAGAGCAGACAAGTTCTCTGGAAAATTGACTGTTTGCTCTGAAGGTGCCAGAAAAAGCTCAAACGGACAGCTTTATTTCCCCAACAGCAGATTCTTCAGGTGTTGAGGAATGAGAATTTAAGTCTGACAGTTCATTATAAGTGACTAATTGAAAGAGGCCATATTGAATCTTTTTGTAGCGAACACGCTGAGTAGATGGTGGATGGTCTAAACCCTGGTCCTTGCCAAAGTGGTACCATTTCTCAAAGGCAGTGTGGCTTGCAGAGCTGGGGCGTATGCAGAGTGGAGGGCTGGGCTGAAATATGATTGGCCACCCCAAGTGCCACCCCATTATCCTTACCTGACCCCGCACTTTCAGAGGCTGTACTAGGCTCTGTATTAAAGATAGAGTGAAGGTACTGGTATCACATGAAACTAGAAGACCTAACACATCGATTGGTATAGATGAAAATGGGTTCTATGGGTACCCACAAGTTTCCCCTTTGTAGACATGCCCACTTTATAATCCCATGCAATTTTGTGCATGTGGTATAAATAGTCTATTTGAATATTTCTGCATACTGGGGTCCATAAACAGTGTTGGAATTGCATAAATTGGGAATGACAAGCTGAGACACATACTTCATGCTGTCCCTGCACAAGTCAATGCCAGGCTTGTGCCACCCTAGAGCTAGTCTAGAGCAGGGCTGCAACTAACAATTATTTTCATTATCAATGGTTTCAATCATTTTCTAATTGATTAGTTGTATGGACCATGTCAGCATGTGGGGGGGAAAAAATGGCTTTGTTCCTAAACCTCAAGGAATTGTCTTGTTTTGTCCACAGCCCAAAGATATTAAGTATAGGATACTGACTATTTTTTGGTGCTGTAGGGCAGTGGTTCCTAACCTGGGGGTTGCCAACGCTTCACAGAGGGCACACAGCCTTCTTGATTTTAGAGGGGTAAGAAAACTTTCAAAATATACAACTACGCATATATCTCAGAATTTTGTTCATTTCTGTGAAGAAAATGGTATTTAGATTATTATTTATTGGTCCAGTGTGTAACATTTAGGAGGATCTATTGTCAGAAATGGAATATAATATTCATAGGTATGTTTTTTATTAGTGTATAATCACTTGAAAATAAGAATTGTTGTTTTGTTACCTTAGAATGAGCTGTTTTTATCTACAGACCCCTAAGGTCGCCTTCCATGAAGTCATGTTAAACTGCCATGTTTCTACAGTAGCCCAGTACGGACAAACCAAACACTGGAATTTTGTGGCCACCATAGTTTCCCCTGCACGCTTCACTGCCGATATGCTGCCCTTACTTGAAACTGTTTCATGCTGATTCACTGCATCACACAAGGATGATTTGATTTTAGCTCTGATTTTGAGTCCAGTCTCGAGTCTTCAGTGCCTGGACGCTGGAGAAATAATCGAATAGTTACAATGATTTTACTTTTAGTGTTCGAGCCACGTTTCCTTTTTTTCTTTTTTTTTACAAACTCAGCAAAAACCTCCACTTCATCAAACAAGTAGAGTGAAGCCCTGAGGCCTGTGTGGCTGGGAAAGGAGTGA